GGCTGGGGAGATAGCTTGGCAGTCTAAGTGCCTGCCTGGCAAGTGCAAGGACCCCAGTACCTCATGCTGTGCTGGCCCCTAAGTCAGATGTGGTGGCACACACCTGTAATCCCAGCACTGGGAAGGCTGAGACAGGAGGATGACTATGTGTCTGAGCTGCATAGTGAGGCCCTGAATCAAATAAATAAATAATTCTTTTTAAATGCCAGGCACAGTGGTTCATGCCTATAATCCCAGCACTAGGGAACCTGGGGCAAGAGGATTGCCATGAATTCAAGGCCAGCTTGGGTGACATAGTGAAATCCTGTCTAAAACAAAAAACAAAATCTAGAAAAAAGGAATTGACCTTTAAAAAGTCCATATATGGAAAGCATCAGAGACATCTACAATGGTGAAAGACTAAACGCATATATATTAAGATTTTGATGGGGTGCCAAGACAACACAGTGGGCTAGAAGACAAAAGACATAGTATCTAGAAAACCCACTGGGTAGACCACAAGCAAGCAAACCAAAAATCCCAGAAAATAACAATGTTGGTGAGGAGTGAGGGAAAGGGAACTCTTGGGCAATGCAGGTGCATGTGTAAGATGAAAGAGCCACTATGGGAAACGGTATTGCAGCTCTGAAAAAAAAAACCCAAGTATCACATGATCAACTGTACTTCTGGATTATACCTTCAAGGAATGTAAAGCAGAGACACTAAGGAATAATAGGTAAACCCATGTTCACAGCTGCATAACTCACAATAGCTAAAACATGGCACCAACTGAGGGGTGGGCAATAGACAAATAAGTAAGCAAAATGTGGCAAACACACACACACAATGGAAAATTGACAAGCACACAATGGAATATTAATGAGCCTTGAAAAGGGGAGAAAATTCTGGCACTTACTTAGATGAGCCCTGAAGACATTACGCTAAGTAAAATAAGCCGGTCAAAAGTACTAACACTATATGATTTCACTTAAATGAGGCACTTAGAGTAGTTAAATTCATAAAGACAGAAAGGAGCATCGTGACTGCCCGAGACAGGCTGCGGACAGTGGATGGGAGGAGTTACTGCTGAACAGCTAGAGTGTTAGTCGTGGAAGATGAAGAGAGTTCTCGAGACAGATGGTTGTAATGACTACACACTAATGACACATAGTGCCACTGACCTGCGCACTGAGGCATGGTTAAGGCCGTAAAACTATGTTATGCAAGTTTTGTTACAAAATATTTTTTTTTCCCACAATAAAAAAATCTGTGCTGGATTTGGTGGCACATGCTTATAATCTCAGCTAGGCTGGAGGACTGTAAGAGGGAGAAAGAGGCACATGGGAAGATTTTGAGAAGAGC